GAACCGAACCCACCCCTAGGCATTGTACTGTGAGCTTCCTCAATAGTTTGAGTAAGGAATGTAGTTTGGGCTTCCTCAACAGTTTGGGCAGGTACAGAACCCTGGGATGCAATATTTGAATTTGAAGGTTTGGAGGAGTCTTTTGTTAAATTCCCCTTTTTACTTTTTTTTGGAAATAAAATAAACATAAATGTGTGGGTCCATTATGTTGGAAACCAACATGTCTTGTACATCTTTATCACAAACAATTTATTGCAGAGAAACAGGCTCACACACCTCCCTAATGCTAAGCCTTCTAAACCACATATCTACCCCATTAATATAACCCAAGTCCTCAACATACCCATCTAACTCAAACTTACTAAGGTAGTCTATGTCCACATTTTCCTTTTTGAGCACCTCACCTCCCAAATATTCTTTTTTCTGCTTCGGACAGTCCCATTTACCACCATGGTGAATCCACAGATTCACGTGCTCATCATCCATTCCCAGCCTGTAGACACAATATCACAAAAACAACGTAACCACACAATACAATATTCAACACCAAAACCTCAATGACGCCACAAACCAAATTGAACACCCAAATAATAACACAATATGCGTAAAACGACAAAGGTGAATTTACTTTCTTCAATATTGAACTTACTTTGACAACATCAAGATGAAATTTGGATTGAGCTTCTTCTCCGACCGCCAAAATCCCTCCTAAAACGTCGTTTGAGTTCTAAGACATACTTAAGTGATGTTTGTCTGTAACTCAAAATGTTTACTGACCTGGATAACATAAAGGCCACGCAGAAACCATTTTGGCCAAATAGCGGTCCACGACATTAATTTCTAATGGACGTAGACTGAGACCTATCTGGCGATAACGGACGTAAACTACGAATACCACTTTGACAAAAATTGAAACGTATGATCCTCTGATCTCCGCAAATGGCCATGATAACTCCGTATTTCAACATGCATTTGATGCGTGTTGAAATCGGCTTTTGATGGTTTTCCTTGCTTAAAGGTGTCATAAGTCTCATTTTTAGCTCAAGTCATATTTTACCGTGCGTTTGTTCGTGTTTGGTATTTTTGGAGTCAAAATCAAGGAATTAAGCCATACACCGGCATTTGAGAAGTAATAGAGAGAGTTAAGACGCATTTGAGATTGATGTGAGTTTTCTCGCACTTAAAATAGATCGTAATATAGTGGTGTAAGTACGAGTATCGTCTCCACAGGGACGGACAAAAGGGAATCAAGAATTAATTAAATTCAGCGATTAAAAAGAAAATAAAATAAAAGCGTCGTACGAGAATTGGTTGGTTTGGAAAATAAAACTAATGCGAACAATTAAACTAGGGGGTTCTCTCTAATTAATGACGAAGGGAACAGGGATTGATTCCGGGGTAACCAGATTTCTGGCAGATCAGGCCTAATTACATGAAATTAATTTGATTGAGCCTAGCTAATCATTACTAAGTTCTTACCGCTCTCGCGGCGTAGAGTACAATAATTTAGGGGACCAGACTGATCTCTCATGCGACAGGATCCTAAATTATTGCCAAGACGAGCGAGCTTACGGCCCCTTAATCGCTACTAATCTCTTAGTGAACGATTAAGTGTGTGTGAATGTGTCCTAGAACAAATTAGATCTCTCTTAATTTATTCTACATGCAATTGTAATTCTAGTCGTGATTCTAGGTTACAAAAGATATCAATTAAATCATTCAAACACAAATTAAACTGCATTCATGCAATTAAACCGACAAGAATCTAGTCATACATCATGATTAACCCCTTCATCAATCCCAAATCCCTAATTAAAACTACTCACAATTCATAATTGAAGAATCAATAGAATTGGAATAAAAAGAATTAATTGTCATTAATTAAAAAGGTGGAACTTACAAAGAATCCCAAAGGATTGATGAACAAGGCTGAAAAGCCCTCTAAATTCGTGCTAGGCACTCTCTCTAAGCTCTCCCCTCGAAAACGGGGGTTTACAGGCTGTTTAAATAGAAAAATCAGGTGAAATTTGAGCTGAATTAGGATTTTCGGAGCCAGACACGATGCCAGGCATGATCGTGCCTTCGATCGTGCCTCCGGAGCAAAAAAGCGCATTTTGGGCAGGCACGATCGTGCCTCCCTCCAGGCACGATCGTGCCTGGCTGGCAGTAACTCCTCCGTGTTTTCTCTTCACGCACGATCGTGTCTGACTTTGAGGGCACTATCGTGCCTACTTAACTTCCGAATTTGACAAAACTTCCTTCATGAAAGTTGTAGATAATGAAGTCCTCTATCCACCCCAATTTGCCGAATGTGATTTAAATCATCCAATCAAGAGATATGATCAAAACGGTGGAAGGTGTCTTTCTGAAATCGCAGCAGAGATCATCTGACTTTATCGTCTGTTTTCACCTTCTTCCTCTCAGATTCTCGCAAAGGTGTCTTCATATGATTTGTAGCCCTTGAAGTTGGCTTTCCTATGGAACTTGAATCGTGTACATTGGATGTTTCTACAAAGAGATATGCTTGAACGATTGACAGAAGGTCATCCTGATCGTCGTTTTCAAGCTTCATTCATCTTCTTTTGACCCCGTAGCCAATCCTAGAGCTCTTTTTCCTTCAAATCTTCATCGTGAATCTTCCGGTGACCTCCAAAGCTATCAAATCATTCTCAAATGCTTCTCAAATCATCCCGATTGTTCCTCAAGTGCCGGTGTCGGGCTCAAATTCCCTGTTTTGACTACAAACAACACAAAACTCGAACCAACGCCCGGTAAACATAACTTGAGCTAAAATTGAGACTTGTAACACCTTAAAACTAGGAAAATCATCAAAAGGCGATCTCAACACGCATCAAATACGTGTCAAAATATGGACTTATCAGAGATCGAGTCAATTAGGAGCATTGGAGGTCAATGAGGTGTTAAAGACGAAGTTTTGAAGACAAAAGAGCTCTAGAATTGGCTACGGGATCAAAAGAAGACGAATAGAGCTTCAAAACGGCAATCAGGATGACGTTCTGTCAATCGTTCAAGCATATCTTTTTGTAGAAACATTCAAATTACATGATTAAAGTTCCATACGAAATCTAAATTTAAGGGATACAAATCATATGAAGACACCATTACGAGAATCTGAGAGGAACAAGGTGAAAACAGACGAAGCAGTCATATAATCACCGTTGAGATTTCAAGATGAGATCTTCCATCATTTTATTCATATCTTTTTATTGGATGATCCAAATCCAGTTTTGCAAGTTGTGATGGATAGAAGCCTTCATTAGCTACAACTTTGGTGAAGGAAGCATAGTCAAATTCGTACGGGAAAGATGCACACCGTGTGCCCGAAGTAAGCACGCCGTGCGTGGAGCAGAAAAATCACGCTGGTGCTACTGCCAATCGGGCACGCCGCGCCCGATATTATTCCGCCCCCATGTGTTTTATTTCAGCCCGGATTGATCTGTTTTCTATTTAAACACCCCGTAAACCCCTGTTTTTGGTTACGGAGGTTAGAGAGAGGCCTATGGACGAGTTTTTACGTATTTTTCCGCATTGTTCTTCAAGACCCTGTGATTATTTGTAAGTTCCTACTTTTTAATTAATGACAATTGATACTTTTCATCCCAATTCTGTTGATTCTTCAATTATGAATTCTGAGTTGTTTTAATTAGGGATTTGGGATTGATGAAGGGGTTAATCATGACCTAGGGCTAATTTCATGATGGATTAATTGCATGAATGTTGTTTAGTTTGTGTTTGAATGATTGAATTGATATCTCTTGTAACCTAAACTGCAGCTAGGATTATAATTGCTTGTAGAATAAATTAAGAGAGATCTAATTTATTCTATGACACCTTCACACGCACTTAATCGTTCGCTAAGAGATTAGTAGTGATTAAGAGGCCGTACTATACGCTCGCTCGTTTTGACAATAATTTAGAATCCTGTCGCATGAGAGATTAGTCTGGTTCCCTAAAATATTGTACTCTACGCCGCGAGAGCAGTACAGTTATAACTTAGTATTGATTAGCGTTGCTCAATTAAATAATCTTCATGTGATTAATTAGAAATCTGATTACCCCGGAGTCAATCCGTGTTCTCTTCCGTAATTAATTAGAAAGAATCAAGCTTTTTATTCGCTAGCTGCATTTTAATTTTCCAACCAATCAAATCTCGCACAATTACATTTTATTTTATTTCTTTTAATCGCTGAATTTAATTCAAACTTAATTTCCTTTTGCTGTTCTTGTGGAGACGATACTCATACTTACACCTTATTCTACTACGTATTTTAAGTGCGAGAAAACTCACATCAGGCCACAACCACATGTAGCTAATCCGTACTTTCCTCTCAATTAAATTAGGGGTAAAACTACCGAACATATGCTGCCACTTGTGGTTAATTAGTCCTGCAACTTGCTACTTTTTTTAGTACGAAGTACTAAACTGGGATTGGTAGGGCTCTGAATAATGATGATGTCACACTATAATTTGTGGTAGCTTAGTTCCCACGTAGATTAGTCCCGTTGGAAGGTTCCCATAGCAAAACGACACAGTGCAGTTCTTTAAGTGATCTGATAACTAAATAAAGTACTTCGGGTATATTTTGAGAAATAATTTTAATAAGTATATATTATAATGTGTTAGTATTGATAACTGTGATGTTATAAATGTATTATTATTAATATTTAATGACTAATTTGTCACTTAAGATTGTTAATTGTTTCCTAAAATGGAAATAAGAACCTTCTAATGGGACGTCCAAAAAAGGAAAGTGAGAACCTTGTAACGGGACGGAGGGAGTACGTACATGTCTGGATTAGCAAGCCAATATGGAAGTAACAAGGCACTTGATCATCATTCATCAACAAGGAAACAAGGACACGATTTGGTAGCAATGAAAGAGATGTTGGGCAAACTGGTAGGCAAGGTAGCTAGCCGTCCTGCTAACTAGCTGTATGCATGCGACTATGAGTATAAATACGCACGTAGTATCATACGGAGTACATGCTTACTTCCATATATCAATCATGAATAAATATTTCCTTGCTTCGGTTGTTCATGAGCACCAGGCGGCCTTACCATGGCTTCTGGCGGCAATAGCCTTTCTCCTCATAATAAATCAAAGACGGCCACGAAAACAGAAAACTCCGCCGGGTCCAAAGCCATGGCCAATCATCGGAAATCTGAACCTCCTCGGCCCCATCCCGCACCAATCCTTGGACTCTCTGTCCCAAAAGTACGGTGAACTGATGCTCCTAAACTTCGGCTCCACCCCTGTTTTAGTGGCCTCCTCTCCCGAAGCAGCCAAACTTATCCTGAAAACGCACGACGCCGTTTTCGCCTCCCGCCACGCGTCCGCGGCGGGAGCGTACCCTTTCGACGGCGCCGAGCTATTCTGGTCCCCTTACGGGCCGTGGTTCCGCCAGGTGCGAAGGATTCTAAGCTCTGAACTCTTCGCGCCTCGGAAGCTCGACTCCCTCGAATACGTCCGAGTTGAGGAAAGAATGGCTCTTATTTCCGACCTTTACGCGGCGGCGGTGGCGAATAGGCCGGTCTTGCTTCGAGACCATCTGTCAAAACTGACCTATTCCATTTCGGCTCGGATACTTTCAGATCACAAGAAATCTTGCGACGGGAGGGAATTGCGAACGACGCCGATCGATATTAAGAGGCTGAATGAGCTTGTTGATGAATGGTTTGGACTCAGCGGGTTGGTCGTCAACCTTGGGGATTGGGTTCCCTGGCTGCGCCCCTTTGACCTGCAAGGGTGTGAGAAAAGACTGAAAGGTTTTAACCAAGAGTACGAGCAGTTTCTGGACCCAGTGATAGAGGAGCATAGGGCGGTGATGAAAGCCGCCGGCAAGGATTTTGTGCCCAATGGGATGATTGGTGTTTTCTTGAAGCTAGCTGAGGATCCAAATGTTGAAGAGTCCGAGGTTGCTCTCACCCGTCATCGCATCATGGCCTTAATACATGTACGTATATTGTACGTGCCATGCATTAATTTGAAGCTATTATATGATCATTCCATCAATTAATCGTTACGTTTAGCTAGGGTCTTACCAACCTAAGGCGTTTCCACCTTTCATGCTAGGCTGGCTACTATACTCTTTCAATTTCAGTGGGCATATACGATAGTATATCGGTTCTCAATTCGTGTTTTGATTGGCTTTGGAAAAAATTATTATCAAACAAGATCACATCACAATCTTACTATACATTTTTCAATTTAGTTCGGTTTGGACTATTTTGTAATAACATATGAACGTTTTTTCTAAATTTCTTTTTATAGTTCGGTTCAATTCAGTTTTATTGAGTGTTTTTCAGTTTAATACGGTTTGGAGCAAAACTACCAAACTACAACCAAATAGCATATGGTTTTGATACATTCCGCTCCAGTTCGATTAAATCAAATCAATATGCATCCTCTACATAATAAGTCAGGCGTGAAAGGTACATGTGCTTCAAAAAATATAACGTACAATCCACATAAGTTCCTGACCAACATTTAAAATTTCAAACTCCTCTTCCGCTACGCTTTTATAATGAATTAAATCAAATCTCGAATTTTGATACATTTTTGTACCATTTTTCTTATTGCACGCATTGGGTAGGACGTTGTTTCTGGCGGGACGGATACATCAGCAGGACTAGTTGAATGGGCTTGTCAAGAATTAGTTACAAAACCAAATCTAATGGCAAAGGCATTAGAAGAGCTGGACAGAGTTATTGGGAGGGAAAGATGGGTGGAAGAAAAAGACATTTCACAGTTACCATACATTGACTCCATCATCAAGGAATCATTCAGGCTGCACCCACTGGGCACACTCCTTCCACACTATTCCATGGAAGATTGCAACATTGAAGGTTATGAAGTAACCAAAGGGACACTTGCTATGGTTAATGTTTGGTCTATTGGAAGGAACTCAAAGTATTGGGAGAGAGCTGAACAGTTCATACCAGAGAGGTTTTTGGGGAGTGATGTTGACATCAAAGGAAAAGATTTTTCAGTGTTGCCATTTGGATCAGGCAGGAGAATGTGCCCTGGCTATACCCTTGGATTGAAGGTTGTGCAGGCAACTTTGGCAAATTTGTTGCATGGATTTAATTGGAAATTACCAGAAGGTATGAAGCCAGAAGATGTGTCTATGGAAGAGGCTTGTGGCTTGACCACTCACCCTAAATTCCCAGTGTCTTACCTCATTGAACCAAGGCTTGCCACTCATCTCTACTAATTAAGTCAATATATGTATTGTATTATTAAATAAACTCTTTAATAAGATCAAAAGGTTTGTTACAATTTCTTTTCAATTTTGGGAAGTCAGAACATGAGGAGAACGTAGCAATTCAAACTATCAATAATGTTAAGTCTTGTATGTTTCCTTGGTTAAGTAAACCAATGGTGAAAATTTTACATGATCTATAAAAATCTTTTTTTCTATTGATACTTAAATGACTTTTTTGTCCTAAATGGGACTAAAATGTTCCTGAAATTCCTAAATAGGACTATACATATTTTTTACCTAAATAGGATTAAATTACCCATTTACCCTTATTCTTTCTTTTTTCCCCTCTTTTCCCACGCCATCTTTTCCCCTGCGCATCATCTCCCCCTGCCCAGCTTCCTTTCCCTTTCCACCCAACTTCTTCTCTTTCCTCTTGCACAAGAACAAGCAAACCCTAGCTCGAAGGCCGCCGCCACTGATGAGAAGTCTGCCGCCGCTGCCCAGTCAAAGCCATCGCCGCTGCTGCCCAGTCAAAGCCATCGCCGCTGCTGCCCAGTCAGATCCGCCGCCGCCGCCGCTGCGAAGTCCGCTGCCGTGGAGATTTTCTTCTCTTCTTCGAAGGTCAGATTATTCTCCCCGTCCTTCCTCTCCTCTTCTGTGGTTCTCTCTTCCTCTCTTCTATTTCATTGCACTTGGTCCATCTCTTCTTTGTTTGATAAAAATTGCCAAGTTGAGCTCCGAAAATGCCATCAAAATGGCATTCTTATTCTACAAATTTTTTGTATTTTTCTTTGAAAATGCCATTAAGTTGGCATTCTCCATTCGTTTTTGGCATTTTGACAAAAATGTTGGCATTCGTGCTAGGGACGGCCAGATCTGCAACAATAGAGGCCAGATTTGCAATGGAGGTGCCGGATTAGTTGCGACTGTGGCTGGATCTACAAGAGCGGTGGCCGGCGGTCGATGCAGGTTAGATCTGACCAGATCTCCGGCGGTGTCCGGCAAATCTGCAGCGGCGACAATCATATCTACAACGGCAGCAATGAGATCTACAATGACGGCTGGTTTTGAGGTAGCAGTGACGTCCGGCGACCGGCGGCGACCGGCGACCGGCGGGGACCGGCGATCGGCGGTGGTCCGAAGTTCTGGTTGGCGGCAGAATGATTATCAAGCTTCAAGGGTGTTTTTGTCAAATTATAAATAATAACTCCTATTTGGGAGATTTCTAAACTTTAGTCCTATTTTGGCAATTAATGATTTATTTAGTCCCATTTAGGTCAATACCTCGAGAAAGACAAATGGTTCCAAATAGGACTATAACTTAGCTAATATACCTAAATAAGACTTTAAATGATTTATATACTTGGATTTTTGTGATTGTTTCTTTATAGGGATGTTTAGTCATGATTATTTTTGTTTGTGGATGGGTGATTTCAATTGGTATCTTTGATATTATTAACAACTTGTCTTGGGGTACATAAGATGTACACAAGATGTACATCATATAAAAGGGTAAAAAAATTACCATAGCTTTTACCCCATAAAAAAAGCCACTTTCCTCTCCCTCTTTCTTTCCCACGCACTCCCCCTTCCCGTTACATATTTGCGCACACCCATTTCACTGTAGCGTCTTCTTCCTCATGACCTCTTCTTCTTCACAGCTGGACGGTTGAGTAGGAGCCTGGTGTGAATGTAATAAGCAAATGGATTATAGTGTTGAGCAGATGGCCTTCATCAGTAGCTACGACATGGGCGAGTTGATGGCACCCCAAAATATGGATTCCGGCTCTGAACCACCGGCGACCGGAGATGAAGCTCAACCCAGTAGGAAAGGCGTCGGCGACGGAGAGGAAAAACATATTCCGGACGCTGATCATGAAGGAGGTACGTGGAACGTAATGTCTGTGTACACAGACATTTCTATATTTTCACTCTTTTTCTATTGTATGTTCTTATAACTTTGTATTCGTATAGTTTACCATCCACTACTTGTGTTAGTGTAACATTTGTATATTTTTCACCTGCTGTACAAGTAAAAGTATTGTGTTTGATGTGTTGTATTATCTATGTAGTAAATATTTGTATTTTTAATGCCTTTATATTAGTCCTTTAATATTGTCTGTGTACAGAGAAGAAGTGAAGTAAATGTCTGTTTTCATATTGCCGTTTTACACCGACGAAGTGATGTAAATGATTGTATTGTTATACAATCTGTACACAGAGACCAATTGACTAATTGGTTTGTATTTTTACTACCTTTCCACACATGTTTATGTATTATGTAAATGTGTTATGTAATTTATTGTGATGCTATTGCTTGTCCACACATGTTTATATTAGTAATAATTAATTTTTTATATGTCTTAACTCAGACCCGGATAACACAAATGTAGATGATGGTACACCAGACGTCCATGTAGAAGTTGGGATGTTGTTTGCGGGAAAAGATGAAGCCTATGATCACTACAAGAATTACGCAAAACGTATAGGTTTTCCCATTAGAATTAGGAGCTCCACGAAAGACAAACAAGGAAACATAACAGCAATGTTAATTGAATGTGGCCGTGCTGGAAATAGAGTTTCAAAGTCAACAAATTTGTTGTTGCCCGGAGCCACTAGTGCAATTGGTTGCAAAGCCGGAATCAAAGTCATGTATGACTACGCCGGGTCATGGGTTATTTCAAAAGTGCATGAACAACATAACCACCCCATGAGTCCTACCAAAACTAGAGCCTTTCGTTGCAATAGGAGATTGACTATGAGCGCGAGGAGAAAAATTGAAATAAATGTTGTTGCCGGAATTCCTCTTCACAAAACCTACACCTCTGCCGTAGTAGAAGCGGGCGGTTATGAGAATTTACCATTCATCGAAAAGGATTGTAGGAACTACGTTGACAAGGTTCGCCGCTTGCGTTTAGGGAATGGTGACGCCATTGCAATTCAAAGTTTCTTTTGCAAAATGCAAGCGGAGTGCCCCAGTTTTTTCTTTGCCCTTGATGTAGATGATGAATCTCGCCTTCGCAATGTCTTTTGGGCACAAGCGGTGCCGGTATGCTTATAGAGATTTTGGAGATGTGATAACTTTCGATACAACTTATCTCACCAATAAGTACGACATGCCCTTTGCACCTTTTGTAGGAGTCAACCACCATGGGCAATCCATCTTGTTCGGTTGTGGCTTAATTTCAAATGAGGACACCACCACATTTGTGTGGTTGTTTACAAAGTGGCTTGAGTGTATGGATGGTTGTCCTCCTAGTGGAATTATTACCGATCAAGATAGAGCAATGCAAAATGCCATTCAAATAGTGTTCCCAAATACAAGACATCGGTGGTGTCTATGGCATATAATGAAGAAGGTGCCTGAGAAGATGGGAGGATTGACTGATAAAGATGAAGTTATTGCTTGTTTACATGATGCTGTTTACGACTCCCAAACAGGTGCACAATTTGAGTTCGCATGGAGTTCTATGTTGCAAAGGTAAGCATTTGTTTTTTGCAAGTTCTGTTCAAAATCACAACTATCGTAATATTCATGGTTTGTAATGTGCAGGTTTCACCTTAATGACCATGAATGGCTACATGTGCTTTATAATGAAAGACATCGGTGGGTGCCATGCTACTTGAGGCCAAGTTTTTGGGCAGGGATGTCAACGACCCAACGTAGTGAGAGCATTAACGCATTTTTTGACGACTTTGTTCATTCTAAAACAAGTCTAAAGGAATTTGTTGATCAATACGGGCGTGCGTTGAAATGCAAAGTAGAGAAAGAGTTCCAAGAGGATGCTAAGTGTCTCACCAAAATGTTGCCTTGTGTGAGTATATATGCCATGGAACATCAGTTGCAACAAATGTACACACTTGCAACAACGGTTTGACAAGTTATGCACCACCTTTGAAAGACTTGCGAATAGTGTGGCTGATGATGATGAACATTATGAACGCGTCTTGACATGGCTTGAAGGTGAATTGGAAAAATGCAACTTGTCAAATGCTCGTTCATCAATTTGTGGAGTTATGACTCAATTAACGGACACCCCACCAATCCAAGTCATAGGCGTGAACGCACAAACAAGTGTTCCTATTGAAGATCCAAACAGGACAAAACGTAAAGGCGCTCCGAGAAAGACTAGGCAAAAAGGACCTATTGAAAAGGGGAAGAAAAAAGCAAAGGTACATCCATGTGAACTGCCCGTGGGACCATATTAAATTGTCTGGTCACAGACATTTACCTACTGGAACCCCTGGTTGACCAAAGTATGAAATGTCTGTGCGACGACACTAATTTGTCTGGCCACAGACATTTGCCTACTGGAACCCCTTGTTCACCAACGTATGAAATGTCTGTGAGACCACACTAAATTGTCAGGCTACAGACATTTACTTACTGGAACCCCTGGGTCACCAAATTATACAATGTCTGTGAGACCACACTAATTTGTCAGGCCACAGACATTTACTTACTGGAACCCCTGGGTCACCAAATTATAAAATGTCTGTGAGACCACACTTATTTGTCAGGCCACAGACATTTACTTACTGGAACCCCTGGGTCACCAAATTATAAAATGTCTGTGAGATTACACTTATTTGTCAGGCCACAGACATTTACTAACTGGAACCCCACGAACACCAAATTCTGAAATGTCTGTGACACAATACTACTTTGTCTGGGCCGAGACATTTAGCCACTGGAATTGGATATTTTATGAACACTCATTTGAACTACAATTGCAATTATAAACAGGGGCGGCCGAAGAAGCAAGGTGGGATTACATCAGGGGAAGTGGGTGGACCAAGCAATGTTGAAGCTGTAGGAGACGTAAGAGCAACCAATGCTGCATCAACCGGTTTACAATGGATGTATAATGATGATTTAAGCTTGAATCTTTCTTTGTTCTAAGGAATTACAAGGATTGTAATTACACAATTTTTTGTATGATGACAAAACATCACATATTATGATATATTTTGACATTGTTCACATTTTTGGTGATCGTACAACAAATATATTGACAATGCAAATTTACTACCATCATATTTCGACATGTATTATGTATAATACTAGCAAATTTACAATGCCACAAAGATTTTGATTTTGGAAATTTACGTAGCATCATATATTGAAAACCTGAAGTTGATATACATATGTTTGGTTTAAGGATTACATAAAAAACATAAGCATATATATAACTACTACGGGCATATACCTACACAAAAAACATAA